AAATTGTATAGAATATAAACAATTTTATGAATAGGTTTAGTGGCATTTCTAAAACAGACAATGGTCAAACATGCATATAATCAAGATGGATTGAATCTGTTTCCTTCTATTTTTCTTTCTTCTAAGCGTACAATTATATTCTATACAATTTCTACTGACCAAACAGCATATATTCACTTGACAAGGTTTCTTTATTATCAACAAAATTAACGAAGCATACTGATGGAAAGATATTCATTTACAGTTTATTCTAAAACAATTTTCTCGCTATAGGATTATATGAAAAGTATTGTAATTTAGTCCTTCATGCCTATTGAATTCTTATATATATATATATATATATAAATGTTGTATATTAAGATAGAAAATACTTTGACATCAACTTTTTTTATTTATTATATAGATCTTAAGTAAAAAGTTTGATGTTAATAATGATAGACTTACCTCGTTTTATTTTTATAGTATATATCTTCACTATAATTCGATAATCCAACGTCGTCTGTCTACTGTACAACGATAAAGAATCATGGTCGTAATAATAATGCACATCTCCTTTCTTTTCTTGTCGAATGTGTTCATCATCAATTTTTTTTTCTCTCGCTCTCTCTCTCTGTCTCTCTTTCTTGTCTATCTTATTGATATAAGAGAATAGAATATTTGAAAGTAGTGATCTTATTTTGTTTTTATACTGACTCTTCCCAAAAAAAAAGGAAAATTTTAATGAATATTAACTTCAATAATGATTGTTTCTTTTTTTGTCAAGAGAATAAGAAACTCAGTAGGTAATGTCTGCTATTCTATAATTCGATCAATGCACTTGAAAGATATTATCACAGCATGTCATTAAAAAAATAAAGAATATTCTCTTATATCTGTTTTCTTTTTATCATCATCTTATATAGATATAAGTTTTGTTAGACAAATGCTATGTGTCAATTGTATAGCTCTACATATACACGACCTTTTTTTTGTCATTCAAGACTTTTAACATGTATTTAGAAAGTGATATTATAGAACACATACTTGATAACCTATAAAAAGATAATAATCGAATCTAGTTATTGTCATACATAATTTCAAATAAAATAAAAAATAAAAAAAAAAAAGAAAGTATCGTTCCATTGAGAATCATAGAAAGAATATTTTTTTTCTTTATGTTAGAAATGACCTATCCTCTTGACAAACTGTGAACGGACATTAATTTTTTTTTTTCAACATCACACTATTATATACTTGCTGTTGAGAATGTTACATTTAAACAACTGACTATTGCCTTGGGGATCGATCATATATATATAGAAAGAGAGACGTCGGAAGTTATTCTCTTTCGTTCTTTATATATAGGAAACAGTTAGTGAAAAGCTCTATCTTCGTAAATTGTCTAGCATCGATATATATATGTATATATTATTCCTTGACCTATCCTTTTTTTTCGATACAACTTACGCAATATACAGGTTATTTATAATTAGTTCTATGTGTATGTCAGTCGTTCTTTTATAAAAACATGATTGTTATTCTTATCTATTATGTGTCTTTAGTTGCCAATTTAATTTTTATTTTTGTTCGTTTATACATACTTTTACTTTCAATAGAAGAGAGAAGATCGATTGTCTTAACAACAATTGTTTTTTTTTTCTTCTTCTTTTATTATATGAGTAGAATCAAAACAGAAGTATATGTTCACTAACTTATCATAGATCTGTATAAAACTTATTTTTACTTATGTCATGGTTGTCAATCATATTTTATATTGATTGAATATCTTCAAAAGAAGTTAAATTTAATGATGTGTGTTAATCATAATGTAAAAAACGCATATATATATATATGAAATCTATGTACATACTTTCAAATATATTCATTGATCACATCAATATTATGTCTGTTGATTTCTTTAGGGAAGTAAAACAAGATCAGTAAAGTAATAGTAGATGATGAGTAAGAAAAAGAAAAAAGAAGAAGAAGAGAGAATTTTATGTCCTATTGAACATTAAATCATTCGAGTCATGAGAATTAACAAATATGAATAAGATTGAAATAGTTTAAATATTAATTCATAATCATAAAAGTAGAAAAAAAGAAAAAGATCATTTCCCTATCAATGAAATTTTTATTATATAATCGTTTTTCTTTTTGACAAACTTTCAAATATAAATATATCTCTTCTTAACAATTGTTTCTTGACAGGTTTTATTTTTCCTCTCCACCTACTCAATCTAGATGACATGTCTATCATTTTTATGCATATATATATATATATATATATGCCTGCTAGCGATCATCATCACGCTATCCATCGTCATCTTCATTTCTTTTGCATTATTAAATGAACACAGAAAAAAAAATTCATTAACAAACATGAACATATCCATGAATATGCTTTTTTTTTTTACAAGATTCAATCATTAACATAGAAGTCGTTATTTTTATCGAAACAATTGTTTCTTTTATTGAAATAAAATGTTAAGGTGTTATAATTAGAAGGTCATTAGAGTCATGTATATTGAAAAATTTTTAAAAGTCGATTAAATATAATTAATGAGTTGAATGATGTATATGTCTACTAATAATGTTTTTATTGTCTTCATTTGAAAAGGTGGTGCTTAACTTCATTTTTTTTTAAAGAAGTTTTAATAAATAATTTTGTTTTTTCATTAACTTTCTTTCGGATATATTCGAACTATTAATAAAAGTGATGGTACAGATTTGATCATTTTTGAAAATTTGATATACATATAGATTATTAATGACATCTCATTAATAAACACTCAAATGATATAAAATTTGAGAAAGACAGATATTTCAGGAGGTTGATTTGAAAAATATTTATTATGAGCAAAAGAAAACAATAAAATGTTAAAGAAAAATAAAATAATTTTCAAGCCTGAGGCGTTATCTTTTTCTCGCTTGGGATAATTCTAAGAATGAATTTGTACAAATTATGTTCATATGGTAAAATCAATTAGAAAATCAATGATGAGTATTATTCTATGAATTGTTATTAGAATAACAAGATGATTTCGATAAAATAGAAAAACATTCATTATGATGTTGAATAAAACATAAATAATAATACTATCATTTTCTTGAAATTGATTAATCGAAGTAGAAAAATTTTAAGTCTTGATTTTGTAATGATACAAAAAAAAATTAAATAAAAGACAATAATTAGAAGAATATTATTTGTAAAGCATATATTGCAAATGAATAGAATTGTAGAAAGTCAATCATAATAAGCTGATAACATATTTGAATATAATGAACTATTACGAGAAATGACTCATTCAAGCTCATAAAATTTAGAAAGAATAAATGAAATATTATTAGTGGATATATCATTAATATTTTTATTAAATGACAAAAAAAGAAAGACTTGTAATAGATTCTGATAGTAAAATTAAGAAATCGAAAGTGAAGTTTCATGATTATCTTCCATTTGAGATTGAACAGTTTGTAAATGAAATAGATCAATCGATAGCATATTTTATTATTTTTATCTCATATTTATCGTAGGACAAAAGTAAATATCATAGAACATCGCTCGATATTGTAGATTAAAATTCCACATTTCAATTTTAAAAAAAAAACAATTTTATTTTTATTTCTAACATATCTATTACTGTTACAAACTATGATTCTTTCACCAAACTATCTAACAATAATTGATGGTTTTAGTACTTCGTTTGATATGAAGAAGCATACTATCATAAGGGGATCTTAAGTAGTTGATAACTCCATAAATATTAGCATTCATATAGTGATCAACTTACATTTACTTGCAAATTATAGTTTAGACCTTTATGAATACATTGTATCAAGTAAATGTGAGCAATTTCAGTATTGGCATAAATCATTCTCATCAAATTTCAATGAACAGTGTTGGTAGTCATAAACTTGTCAGTTGACCAGTTAACAGGAAGAGTAGTAATAAAAGAATCATTATGTTAAAATAGGTGCAAATCTTATGTTCAGATATTCGACCATGACAACTAATGCCCATTCCAAAAACGAAGACGGATGGGCATTTTTTGAATAACTTCTGAACGGATTGAGTTAGAGGGCTGCAATTTTCACTATTGGAAAAAGGAGATGAAGACGCATCGAACCATATATAAAAACATTTTTCTGACTACTTTTCTAACAGTGTTACATAGAGCTTCTAGAAGAATAGCATGTCTCTCACGGTCGCAATGTTATTTTATTGATTTTCAAAAGTGTGCTAGAACCGCCAGATGAAGTACTACAAAACTATATAAACATTTCTATTCTTAACCACTATTAGTAAAATATCCTAGTCATTGAAATTGCAATTTACCACAGCATTTTTTCAACAAAATAATCGAAAAATTCAAGTTTTTGTAGTTTTTTTTGACGAAAAATCACTTTTTTTCACGTATGAGAAAAAAGCAATTTTTTGAAAACGTTGGACTAAAACTGTTAGGAATTTAGTCAGAAAAAATATTTTTATATATGGTTCGATGTGTTTTCATCTCCTCTTTCCAATGGTGAAAACCGCAGCTCTCTAACTCGATTGTTATTCAAAAAATATCCACCCGCCTTTTTTTTTTGCAACGGGCAATAGTATTGAAACTTAATTTCTACTTGAATGTGAACTATGTAAATCGAATAGCCATATTCAATCTTGTAGATAATACAATAATTAAAAATTACAACTACCACAAATCGAAACGACTATTGAGTTAAGTACTATTCATTGACCTAGTACTACACAGCAGTACTTAAGCTCACAGTAATTTTTCTGATGCTTAGATTAACTCAATATCAGTATGATGAGCACGTATTATTTGAAATTATTCTCAAGTTATTTGAATTTTTGACAATACAAATTTTTTTAAAGAGTACAGTTACTCATTGATGTACGATCATCGCTCAATTTTATGATTCATTTATTATGAATCTTGTGACTATTGTAGTTTTTTTTTTATTGTTATTATAATATATATGAAGAAAAAAAATTATTCAATTATATGAATTCATCAACATCCTCCATTTGGTAAAACCATAACTGATTCTGGACATGTTTCACTTATCTTTCTACGAAAATTACAATTCCAAGAAAATCTATGTATACCAACTGGTCGTTCATAATATATTGATTCAACAGAAAATGTTTTTGCTATATGTACTGGAGCTATAGATGCATTAACACGATGTAAATTTTGTGCATACCATACATCTTCAGGTTTTCGACGATCATATGGAATTAATGCAATTAATTCTAAAATTTTTCTACGAGTACGTAATGAAAATCCACCATTACCAACAAGATATTTTCGATCATCTGTATACCAAGATATATCCCATGGTGCACCAACATAATCATATTGAAGATAATCAATTATTTTATGTGGTGAATTTGAACACATAATAGAATCAATTTGAAAGAGAAGAATTTTTTCACCACGTACTTTTTTCCAAAATTTTGCATCAGTAAATAATATATTTGTTCGACTTCTATCATAAATTTCTTTCATTAAAGTAAGAATTATTTTTCCTGATGAAATTAATGATGAAAGTGTTGAATTTCGAATAAAATTTTCATTTGTTATACCATGAAAAATTTGTATAGGCCATGTTATTGGAATATGATAATTAACATTATGAACAACACTTATGATTTTATCTGTTGTACGAAATTCGACAATTATAGCAATACATGGATAAAAATCTTTTGAAGAAAATTTTTCAAATTGATTTAATTGTTTTAAATTAAAGAAATTTTGACGATAGATAAAATAATGATATATAATTAAAATACATATAATTGTAAATGTCATAATAATAATATTTTGATTTGGTTTAGTTGTCATAGTTGAAAATACTATATATATTTCTTTTTTTTTTGATATTCTTTACTATTTATAATTTTGTTTGATTAAAGAATTCTTTTTTTTTCTTATTAACAAAGAAAAAAAAAAGAAAACTCAAATTACCTTTAAAAGTTGTGAACATATATTATATGATATTTGTTTAAGACAATGAAAGAAGTCACAGCAACAGTTTGAGAATATATAGAAAATTAACTGCGCCATTTTAATTTTATAAAACGTTTTCTTATAAATTCTTTCTAATGAACTTTTTCTCTTTTTACACATCAGTAAGAAAATTAATTTAGAGTTTTTAAACAAGTATTTGAAATAGAATAGAAAACTATTATTCGTTAATGGTTTTTTTTTTTTGTGCAATAAAAACGAATGAAAATGATAAAAAAAAACACAAAAGAAAAGATAGCAGTTTTAGTTGTCTGATTCTCTAGAAAACATATGGTTTTTGTAGCATAAGAAATATATAATTTATCACGTACGTAATGAAATATACATCGAAAAAAATTTCTTCTCTTCGAAGAAGGTTAAACAAAAAAACATCGATTATAAGCGTTCGTAAATACAGCAGAAAACAGTCGTGAAGTGCTATAGTTGAATACGATAAATATATACGACGATATAAGTTTACATAGGATTGGTGCAAATGAGCATTAAATTCAATGCAAACGAGAGAATATTTTCAACTGATCGATCGTTTTCTTAATATAAGCTACTGTGAGTTAAAACTAAATGCCTAGTATAGCAGCAGGTTTATTAATTAACGTTCTTTTTTGTTTATCTCCAACAACGTTTCGATACGCTAGATTGTTTAAAAATGAGGATATTACATGCAAAACTGTTTGTAGAACAACGTTTGCCTACATACTTTTTTTTTGAGGAGATCAAAATTTCGAGTCGGTTCTAAATTCCTCTCATTAATCCTCCTAAAAAGCCTTATTTCTATTAATAATTGGTATACTTCATAGTATTTTTTTAGCGGTATTCAATTACATTAAAAAGCATTTATTAGCAGTACGCTTTTATATTAAACTATAAGTCTTGAGTTTTGTTTTGAAAGATGACAAAATATAAATTTAGACTACACTATGAAATTGTATGTTCGTGGATGAAAACCACAATATCAAGGATGAATGAGGATAAGTATGTACTTGCATTCGATGGCCTACACCATCTTGTTGAACACTATATTCTATTGAAAATGTATGCCGCTAAATACTACGAACTGCACCAAATTTTACAAGATTTCGATTTTTAGTGGATTTAATGAGACGGATTTTGAGCATGAGTGGGAAGTATCGTTATTTTATAAAGAGTATTTAACATCCCTAATCTATAATAGTAGATTCAATCGTATTAATATTGGTTTATAAAATTAAAATAGATATTATTGTTTATTTAAATTTAGCTTAACAAATGATTTAACGATAAGCATAAATTTCCGTTCTTAGGAGAAGTTTGTATGAAGATGATGATAATCGAAGTCCATTGAATTGTACAAAAAAAACTATAAATATGAAAAAATAAACATCAAATCAAAGGATGGTTGTAATTAAATTCATTGAAAAAATTCTTTATATCCAAGTCATCAGCCTTATTGAATAAAAGCAATTTACAATTTGTGATATTCTTGTATAAATCAAATCTAAATAACCAACTATATTTTTTTTTAAATTTTAAAAGTAAAATATCTATAAAGCATAATATTTTTTTTTTAGTAGATCAATGTTCATTATTGTTCAATTTTATAATGCTTTTTTTTGTCGAAGCATTCGATTACAATTAGCACAGTAATGAGTTGTATCCTAAGAAATAACATTAAATTCATATATATGATTTAATTTTTAATATTTCATACTTTGAAACAATCAACGAAAAATGGAATAAGACAACAACCAAATACACATCCAACAAGGCAAAGTCCAATTACACTAAGCCATACAGCTAAACCATTTGTTTTTTCAACTCTCGTAATAACTGTTTGACGACAATATGGACATACACAAGATACAGGATCATCACCAGTAGGTGCTGCGATTGGAATAGATTGTGGCTGTTGAACAGGAGAATAAGGTGGTAGTCTATCTTGATAATTTTGTGTCCATGATGGTTCATTATTTCCTTTGTCTATATATTAGAAAATTAATTTCAAATAAAATAAAATTCAGCAAAATACTTACAATCATATGGTGACATATTGATTAGATGAACTAAATTAAAAAAGAACTAAGCTACTTGTGTATGTAAGAGTTATTTGAGTTGAATTGAATGGCGCAAAAGAAGATGAAATAAATAATTGTAGACATGCTACTATTATCATGATCAAGGGCATGATAATGTGAATAGTACAATGATATATTTACTCTTTACAAATAGAAAAAAAGTTTATATTAAAGTCAATAATTTTTTTTTCTTTTGAATATATTCAATACTCTTTCAAATAGTATTCAAAGGGCTGTACTATATTTACAACAAATAGACAATGTCATTGAACTATTGTAGAGTCTGTAACGTCTAAATTAATATGATTTAAAATCAATAGAAGTTTTTAATACTATCATATGAATACAACGAATTTAACAAAAAAAATTTCAACATTGGATATTTTGCATATATCTGTATTTCGGAACATTGTAGAATGTTATTTCTTTTTTTTTTTCACAAGATGCGCCATGATGTATTCTATCAGAATTGTAATACTAAGTATTTATAATGAGCGTTGAAAGTATATAAATGTGAATATGTCCTTTTTTCATGCTGCTTAAATCTAAAACCATTTAGATCAATTACGTTTCATTCATTTTTAGGAGTCATATTTTAGAAAAGCGGGATTACAATAGGTCCTTCAAAGTTGAATGTCTTTCACCTAGTATAACTCCGAGGTAAAAAGTTAATGTAGTTATCATGGCACAGCATACAAATAAAGAGAATTTCTAGTAATGTAATTGAAGAAAGGACTGCAAAAACCAGTGAACTTGTTGCATAATTAATTTCATTATATTAGGATATAACAATATTAAGAACTGTTGATTTGAATTGAATGTAAACCAACGAGTAGAGTGTTTTCGTTTAATGCATCATCGAAGACAACAATCTTTTTTTATTTAAGGTGCAAAAGAACCTTATGGCAATCAGTCGAAATTTTTGTTTCCTTCTCGAATTACGTATTCAAAGTTCATCTTTTGTGACGCCATAACCTCACGAACAACACGTTGTCGGATGCTTGTTGAAATGCCATTGACGACATTGAGGCCTCTATTTCATATAAATGTTTTTTGACTTTTTGTATAATATTTTATTCGCCCAAAGTCGAAGCCGGATATTATAAATAATCTATGGATTTTGTTCTCATCATATCGATGTAATGCAACGAGACGAGGTGTTGATCTTAGTGGTAATGTATCAATGGACACTTGCTGACATCTTTTTTTGTCGATTAACAGAACTCTATAGTAGGCTATTAGAAATGCCATTGTAATGATTATTCAGAAAAATAGCAAGAGTGGAAAATTTCAAACTTCTATCTTTACAAATGATTTGTAAAAAAAGGAAAATTTTGCAAGCAATATATGATTTGATATTAATGTTGGAGTAGAAATTAAAATTCTACTAGTAGAGATTAAAATTTCAATTTCTACTAGAAGAAATCGAAATAACAGGCGATTTTAAGTTGCACTAGTAGAAGTTAAAATTTTAATTTCTACTATAGGAGAATTTTAAATTCTACTAGAAACTTACACTATAAAATTATGCGAATTTCTCCTAGAATAGAAAATAAAATTAATACTTATTCTAATTATGCAATATGTCGAACGAAAAGAAAAAAAAAATTTTAGATATTTAATTTGAACTCCTCGCGTCAGTATCAAAAGAATAAACACTTCAATATGATATAAAATGAACTATTTTATTCGAAATTATATAAACATATAGAATCTTTAGAAAAAGATTTCTTTTAAAGTGCTTATCACACAAATTGGTTACAATGGCATCATATTGGTAATAGAAGATGGCTAGGGTGAAGCTCAGTTTAAATTCTAAATCAATAAACACGTTAAATCAGTTGCTATTGGCGAATTACAAGTGGATTTTGGCATTACATCAAATAATCTAGTGATCACATACGGGTTAATTTTATTTTCTATTCTACGAGAAATTCGTTACGTTTAAGGAAGGTTATATTCATATTTAAGTGATAATTTTATCTCTTCCTTTTTTTTCCTTTTCCAATCAACAATTATAATTTATTAAATCAAAAT